GTCTAAAACAATTTTTGTGATGGTTTGTATTTTTTGTGCTCTGTATGGAACATCAGTGCCTGTTTAAGTGATGAACTCCATTACTTGTGCTTGTTTCAGACATGATAACAGACGTTTTATACTTGTGCTACAACTTTTTGGCCTGTGCTACAAAACTTTCAACCTCTGTAGCACCAGTGCTATGTGAAAAAAAAAGTTAACGTACAGCCCTGATATATATATATATATATACATATATATATATATTGTGTGTGTTTAACATTAGTATTTTTATAGTTTTGTATTTTTATTTTAAATTATTTGTATTATTTATATTTTACTTCTTCTTATTATTTTTTTTATTTGTATTATTTTACTTTATTGTATTTGTGGAATTTTCTAAGGTGTTTGTGATTACTCTTGCTTAAATTTAAACAATCTCATATTACAGACATACAATATTTGCCTGGCTGATGATAAAAAAGGCAAAAAAAAATATCGTTGACCGTTTTAACCCCTTTGCTGTTACCCCCCATTTTCGGCATGGAGACACAAATTACATACCCAAAATAAAAAGGTTGCTGCTCATCAGTCTTTCTGACTAGATACATAATCAACAGGTTCACAAAGCTGACACTTCAAAGTTTACTGTTCAAGAATCAGAATTACTCAGACTGTTATGATAATAGAGATATAAAAGCTCAAATGTAAAAACAAAAATACAATTTTTAAATGTATAAAAAAATATGTTGCTGTGGTAAATGCTTTTAGAAACACAATGAGGCTAAAGCCACACGTCTACTAATGCTTAATTTCAAATTTCAGGACATAATCTCTAAAACTGTGAATTTTATTAAACATTTTCTAAGACCATGTCATGTGTGTTTTTAGAGAAGGCTAACAAAAGGCTAATAAAATTGATTTATGGCCCTCTGTAAGCTCTCCTGCGTGCTGTTGCCTCTTGTCTGGCCAAGCAAACTGCCCCATTCATGATTCTATTGTTCTCACTCGACGAACCTTTCACACCTCCGCCAGATATGACACAGAATCCTCATTATTCCTTTATCATTATTCCTTTGTTTTGATTCAGCCATTATAGCCTTTGTTCTGGAATTACAAGGTTTACCAAGCCACATCGCTTAGATCCCAGTATACATTTACCAAACTATTATCAAAAGTCTTTCTAGAAAAATACAACAAAACATTTTCTTACGACCTTACGTGAATTATTATGACAAAATGCATTATGAAGAAGAGCTGCACCTGTTCTGCAGCTGCATTAGAGCTAACCGAGATTATTAGAACACTTTTACTCAAAACTCACTTTAAACCACCATCCAGTGTTTGTAATAACTTCCTTTTGCGATCTCATGTGGAATTTGGTCTTTTACTGTTGTAAAAATATGCTATTTATAGCCTTTTATATCGCTGCACAAATGAGCATTTG